CCGCCTCAGGAACACTTTCGCCATTCACAGACATTCCTTTAAATAAGTGCAAAGGTGTTTTGGTAGTTCGTCAGAAACATACTCTAATTCTCAAAGATTTTGATTTATCAGAAACGATGCAAAACCACGTGTACAGGGTGACACTGCTGCACTTTTTTGACGCACCCTGTATGCCTAAAATCAACTTAGTTAAAAACATTCGACAACTTATTGAAACTTTTGTATTTGACACTTCTGTCAAAAACGTCAAATGAAAAAGTTAGCAGGGGGTGACATTTATAATGGATCACCCTGTACCATCGTGTGTGCTATCAACGTTTCACAGCTTTGCCGCCAAAATATAGAGTGTCGGTCAGCTTGCCAAGGTACCTACTTAGTTATACTTAGTTATTAACGTTATAAGGTCGGTAAATAGCACATAACGGCCAGGCTGAAGTTTGTGTTAGCTCAAGACTGTTATTTGAAGTTACCGTCCGTGTTTTGTTCTAGATATTTCGTCACACTGCAGATTTTAAGAATTTTTCAATCTGAAAAAAAATAACACACTCCTATAATGTTTGAAAATAACGACCGGCGGCGTTATTTATATTTTCACGGCCGGCGGTCTTTGAATATACCTTTTTAATTACCCTCATGCTAAAGTGAGATAACAATACAGTATGACGAACTAGTATTTTACTAAAAAGACCCGATTTTTCATTTTTTTTTACAAGTTTCGGGGTCTCTTACTACCCTTTCGCCACGGGGGTGTGCCAGCTGACAGTAGGGTTACTTATTTATTAAGTAAAAACTACCGTACAGAATGAAAAAAAATGATGCTGAAATGACCCATGAAATCTTGACGCCAGCCCCCTGGCTATTTGTAATTGGTTATTAGACAGTTAGTTGTTAATGTTGTCTTGGACTATGTCCGTCATATTAATATTAATATAGTTGTCAATATAGTTGTCACCATCAGCTGAGGTTGTAGGAGTACTCTAGTAGAATAAGTGGCCCTCGTTACTTGTTGCGTTGCATGGGATTGGATGTTTTTAGTTGTGGGCGGAGCTTGTGAAGGGTAGCGCCAAAACATATAAAAATAGCCGTTTACAGGCCAGAGTCAGTCAGTGATTGAGACTTCATCTCGCCTGTCTGCCCCGTTCTTTGCGCCAGAGACAAAAACAGCTCTCCCCTCATTTGTTCGACAGAAGTGCTGTGACATGTACCTGGCACTTAGGAGCGCGTATTAGGCTGGCAACGCTTTGTTGTGGGTCACCTTGCCTTAGGGATCACTTAATGTGGCCGGTAGACAAACCTCTCAGAGCGTTGTTGGTGCGAGCTACCTCATAGGTGCGAAGATAGAAGAAAGAGATCCAACGTTACAACCCCTCGGGCGCGAAATAAGGTTTCCGGAAAATCCCAGTTTGTCGCAAGGAAACCCGGATTAATCCTCGCACTGGAGGTTGATGTCCTGGGGGAGTACTTCGCATTAGCTTACCACCAATACCCGACAAAGTCCTTTTCAGGGCAACTGTCTGGAAGAAAAAGAAAAAATCGTTTGATTTCTAGTTATTAATTGAGCCCCGCGTTTCCAATTCGGCACATTCGTGCAGCTTTCCCTGTAGGAAATCTAGACTCCTCCCCCGCGTTTGTCACGATTATTTTTGGACACCTTCTTCAAAGGTTTCCGGCTCCCCGTGTCCGTCCTCGACGATTTTCGTGAATTTTTATTAAAATTCTCAACTCTCCTGAAAGCTCTACGTCGAATTGAAACTCAAAAATCAAATAATCATTTTCTTCCTCCAAATGCTCACCAAGTTGGGACAGAATTTGCAAAAAAACTAAAAGTCTAAATTATCCAAGCTTGACTTGTTCTGAGGCTTTTTTTAGGAAAAATCTCAATTTCAATTTAACTTAAAGCAAGATTAGCCGAGTTGGGACAGAGTTTTATAAGAAGACAAAAGTCGAAACTACCTCTAGCTTGAATTTTATGGAGGATTTTTAGGAAAAACCTCTTTTTTCATTTCAGTACAGACGAGACTTTGACAAAAACACACGAACCTTCAATGGTTAGACTGGTTTTCGGACCTGGTGCACCGTTTCTGTTCCCCCGTGTTTTTATTTGTCACTTAACTTCTCGAAGCCGCTCGACGGTTTCCTCAGAGTGCCATCTGAGTTCAACGTACTGTCGTTGCAACCAAAAGTTTCTAGACACCGTGTTAATGCAACTTTGGCCCCTCGGACTTCAAAAAACCGAGTTGGAGCCGTGCTCCCATATCATACAAAAAACGTCAATTTTCACTTCCTTTTTTCTGGAGGCTGCTGGCCCGCAAGCTCATTCCTTAAAGAACCAGCGGGGTGGTTTTGGCGGGACCTCCTCTCAGTACAACTGAGAAGTTGTACAAACACTCGTGGGAAACAAAAAGGGTTGTTGTTTCACCCTAAAAACAACTGGCATCCCAAACCGACTTCGACAAAAATGACGGACAGATACAGTCCAGACCTATACGGCGCCACTCTAGACAAGTTGGACATGATTCTAAGTCAAGGCCCCATTCCTGCGGCCGTATCAGAATCCGATTTTAACGAGGCTGAAGTCCCGCTCGCCGCAACAAGTCTAAATCCGCCAGACGCAGCGGAGCTTGATTTTCTACGCTCACTTTTTGCTGAACTCGAAGACTTTAGAAGGCAAAAAGAAGTTGAAGCTAAGAAAAGCTTATTGCGCGACATACTCAACCAATGAAGCCTCAAAATATCCTGCTGATTTGGATTATTGTGCCCCTAACTCCCAGAGTACTTAGGTGAGTATACAACATCAAGCTAATACACGGTGTCAGGTTAACTTGTTAAACCGAAAGTCTAGAGACATGGAAAGCTTCTTTAGACCACCACAACCTTTGGAACTTGATGGGAATATCGCCGAGAATTGGAAGAAATTCAGTCAAAAGATGGATAATTTTATGATTGCCGCTGGATTTAGTGATGACAAAAAACTTGCTGTATTTTTGAACCTCATAGGTGATGATGCTTTGGACCTTTATAATACATCTGATTTCGGAACCGAGGTAAAAACACAAACTAGTAAAGAAAAAGTTTGATGAATACTGTTTACCAAAAAAAAATGTTATTTTTGAAAGATTTGTATTAGCATAGTGCAAAAAGAGGCTCAGTCATTCGACAACTATATTGTAACTGAATTGAGAAAAGCTGTGAAGACAACAGAATATGAAGAGATAAGAAATTTAGACTTAGTGGTACAAATTGCACATGTTCCTTTTCGGCCTAGTAGTAGTCAAAAATCAGAGTCAACTTATATGACCCGCTTTAGCCGTTTAGTTCAAAAACCAAATAGGCTTAATCTCTAGCTCCTAAATATTATTTGTGTTGAAAGAGAGGATGTATAATATAGTTGTCAATATAGTTGTCACCATTAGCTGAAGTTGTAGGTATAGTAGAATAAGTAGCCCTTGTTACTCAACCAATAAACTTTCAAAAGATCCTGCTAGATTGGATTATTGTGCCCCTAATGCCCAGAGTACTTAGGTGAGTATACAACATCAAGCTAATACACTGGCTACAGCGGACGATACATACAGGAAATGCCACCTTCAAAAGGAAAAAATTGAGCATATTACAAGCGGTAGCAAGTCCCTAGCTGGCTCAGAATACACAGCAAGACATAACGCAGCAGCGAAAGTAATCCACCAAGCATTGGCCACAGCATTCAAAAACACGGAGCCATACTACAAATACACACCATCATCTATACTCGAAAGCAAGGATTCCAAACTATACTGGGATATCAATATTCAGACAGATAAAACAATTTCCTCCAATAGACCAGATATCACCTTTCAGTAATAAAAACATCCAAAGTACAATGAAAAAATCTGTAAATACGCAGACCTAGCAATCGAAATGAAAAGACTCTGGAAGCAGGAAAAAGTTACTGTTATCTCCCTGATTATGTCAGTAACAGGCCTCATACCCATAAATTCAAATCACAGCTAGGACTCAACACTAACATATACCTAAACTTTCAGAAATCAGTGTTTTTTGTTCTCAACTACATAAATGTCTTTGTCTTTAATGTATAAGTTGCAAAATTACATAACAGATAAGTTAAACATATAGTTTATGCTTCAAACAAAATATTGCATTTTAAAACTTTGAAATCAATTTTCTGGGACATCCCATACTCGTACAAAGAAGTGACAATAAGCAAAAACGCTTGTTTTCAGGTATAAAATAACATACTACAGTTTTTAAAAAATCAACCAATCACCAGGATTCTAATATTTAGTGCCATTTTGGAATAAACAAAACTGTAAACAAACATCCCATACTAGATATTATTATTATTATTATTATTAGTACATGGGCGTATGTAGACCAGATGTAAAGCAGACATAGTTTTTCTCGAGATGGCAACATCCTCAACAAATAAGCTATAAACATAGCGACTAAATGTCTAATATTGTCAATTATAGCTAATAAAATATAACGCAATAATTGTACATTTAACCATACGTACGTCTGACGCATATGTGATTGGTAGCATCCTGGTTGTCTAGTGGATGGGCGCCTTTACAATGTGATGAGGGGTCAAATAATGGTAACCGGCCATGCCTGGAAGGGTGGCTGTTTCCATCGATATCCTACAATAATATTTATTAATCACTAATTAAAAGAAACATTTTGAAAAATAAACGTCAATTGGGGAAAACATTTTTTTATTATTAAATAATATAGGTTAATTTTTTTCAAGGATAGAAAATGGATGGAAAGCTTACCAGGATAATGGTCTTCGCCGGATCCGGATTGGTTGGTTGGTCTATATCCAAATAAGGAATTTTGTATGTTGGTGCGATTGAACACACACACGTTCACACTAGAGATTGTTTGAGAAGTTGGATTTGGTTTCAGGATCTTTTTTACCAAGGTTAACAACACAATTAAATTTAATTATCAGGACAGAGGATTTAAGTATACCGATCTCTGCTAAAAAAACTTACACATTTTTGAAATAAAATGCATTATTATTTTTACATTATAATGTATTATGTAAAGTTAATATTAATATATAAGGGATTACAGAATAACTATCGTAGAAAAAAATAAAACGTAAAAATAATTCTAACAAATACATTAAGCTGAATATTTATGCTCTGTAGAAAAGCCCAATTAATGTGTGATATGTATTGTCAAATAACACACCTCACTATATAATATAAAAATGAACTATGTAAATTTATGTAAATCTTCAAAATACATATTATAATATAAGTCAGAAAAATCTTTTCAAAACATTGAGTTGAGACTTACTTAACTTGCAGATTAGTAAACATCAAAGCCCAATTCTCTATCAACTGTATGATTGGTTCTAATATTATTTATCAAATACAGAGCGTGAAAAATATTCTAAATCTACACTATGTGATTTTTATTTGTACCCTGTACTCTTACTTAATGCTTAAGTGCCTACTATGAAATTTATATACACGAAAGTGCTGTGTGATTTTTTTACTTTAACCAATAATACAGTTTTTGGGGTACTTTTGTGATGAGAACATAAATTTTATTCTTACATATTTATCAAATAAAAAAAAATTGCGTTCCAAAAACAATTACCTGAAGAAATTTTCTTTGCGCCTTAGCTTAGTAAAACACGCTTACGTAGTACATAAATAAGGTCCAATAACTAATAATAATGGAATACGCCTCAATGACTTTATATTTTTGATGCAAGATAATCGTAGGTTCAAAGTAATTTATATACAAATTGTAATTCAGTCAAAAAATTTTAGATTTTCTTTGGCATATTGAAGAAAAACAAATAATGTCCTACACCCTATACTTATAGTATAAGTTTCAACCTATACATTACCAATCCAAATAGGTAGTGAAATAAGATAAGAAATTTACCCTAATACATATATCGTTCCACGAGTAAAAATTAGTGTAAAGCTTAATCAGGTTTCCTAGTACTTCTCTAAAATTTGAGAGAAATGGCATCATTGCAGACTTATTAGTGCAAGTTTTAAACTTAATACAAATTTAGTACAAGGTGGATTTCTATGCATCTGATATACAAATAAACACAATTGGTTGATTACAATATAATTTTTTTTTTACATTCCCAAGAAAAGTTATGTAAGACGCAACGACTTGCTCCGCCACTGGATTATGTTGCTTCCTTATCATATTATCAGAGAACTGTCATAAGTCAGTCACAGTCATCAGAAGGTCCATGTGCCCAAGATAAACAAAAGTTTGGTACACACAAACATGCTGGTCAAAATTATAAACTCTCAAAGGATAGATATGGCGGTACAAAATTTTTGAACATGAAATTAAACTGCTTCAGTTGCGATTCTTATCGCCACATATCAAAACATTGCAGAAAACTACGACTTGAGTGCAAAAAATATAAATGTTTAGGTCATGCTGAGGCGGACTGTCTTAAAAATCAAGATTTCCGCTACCAAGAATAGATGATCATCTTGAACGTTTAAGGGAAAGCAAGCACTTAACGTCACTTGATATGGTATCAGGCTACCACCAAATACCAATGGCTGCAAAGTCTAGAGCAAAAACAGCATTCATTACGCCGGATGGGCATTATAAGTATACACGAATGCCATTTGGATTAGCAAATGCTCCAGCTGTATTTCAGCGAAGTATTAACCTAGTTTTTGGATCCTTGAGATTTAATACAGCACTGACCTACATAGATGACATCTTGTTTCTGGAAGGTGACTTTGACGACGGATACAAAGCTTATGGGTCAATTCTGTGCAGATCTGTAAGCAATTCTATAAATTTTTATAAGCCTATAGCTTCTTAAATACAATTTGTAATTCTGCACTTCCTGTAGATTACAGAATAATAGGATCGTAAATATTTCCGACGGCGTGTTTGGCAATCTATGCGTTTTGCAGTGTCTATAGGCTTATAGAAATTTATAAATTTGCTTACAGATGTGCACATAATTGACCCGTGAAATGTCATCCATATAGACCTGATAACATCGTATCCATAACTTGCTGAAAAATGGCTGGGGCAACTTTTACTCCAAATGACATTCTATTATATTGAAACAATCCATGATGAGTGTTTAATGTTAAATATTTTCTTGATTCTTCACTGATTTCAATTTAAAGGAAAGCATCAGAAAGATCAAAGCTCTATCAGAAATCTTAAAAGTATTTAATAACGCTGGACTTACCTCACGCATGACTAAATGTTATTTTTTTCGACAAGCCATTGATTATTTGGGATATGAGATATCGGCAGAGGGTGTCAAACTAGGAAAATCGAAAATAACTGCAGTAAAAGTTTTTAGTTCCTAAAAATGCCCATAAGGTGAGACAGTTTTTAGCACTTGCCAGTTATTTTCGGAAATTCGTCAAGGAGACCATCAACCACATTTATTAAAAAGACCTAAACATTTAGTTGGAATAAGGATCCGGACTGTTTTAAAAATCGAGATTTCCGCTACCAAGAATAGATGATCATCTTGAACCTTTAAGGGGAAGCAAGCACTTAACCTCACTTGATATGATATCAGGCTACCACTAAATACCAATGGCCGCAGAGCCTAGAGCAAAAACAGCATCCATTACGCCGGATGGGCATTATGAGTATACACGAATGCCATTTGGATTAGCAAATGCACCAGCTGTATTTCAGCGAAGTATTAACCTAATTTTTGGATCTTTGAGATTTCATGTAGCACTGGCCTACATGGATGACATCTTGATTCCGGCAGTTGACATTGATGACGGATACACAGCTTTATCAGAAATCTTTAAAGTATTTAATAACGCTGGACTTACGCATGACTAAATAATATTTTTTTCGACAAGCCATTGTTTATTTGGTACATGAGATATCGGCAGAGGGTGTCAGACCAGGAAAATCGAAAATAACTACAGTAGAGAAGTTTTTAGTTCCTAAAAATGTCCATGAGGTCAGGCAGTTTTTAGGAGTTGCTAGTTATTTTCGGAAATTCGTTAAGAAGACCATCAACCACATTTACTGAAAAGACCGAAATATTTAGTTGGAATAAAGATCAAGAAGATTCTCTGCGACAGCTCAAACAGATATTGTGTACGACCAATTTTAGTTATTTATGATCCTAATTTAGAGACAGATGCATCGAAATGGGGACTAGGAGGCATATTGTTACAGAAACAACAAGAAGGCAAATTGAAGCCTGTGTTGTACTATAGTCGACAAACAAGCAAGGAAGAGCAGCGGTACCACTCCTACGAGTTAGAGACATTAGCCGTCGTTAATTGCATGCAGCGATTTCGTGTTTACCTTCTAGGAATCCAGCTTAAAGTAGTCACATAACCAATGGCTGCAGAGTTTAGAGCAAAAGCAGCATTCATTACGCCGGATGGGCATTATGAGTATACACGAATGCCATTTGGATTAGCAAATGCTCCAGCTGTATTCCAGCGAAATATTAACCTATGTAGTTTTTGGATTCTTGAGATTTAATACAGCACTGGCAGTTGACTTTGACGACGGATACAAAGCTTTATCAGAAATCTTGAAAGTATTTAGTAACGCTGGACTTGCCTTACGCATGACTAAATAATATTTTTTTCGACAAGCCATTGATTAATTGGGACATGAGATATCGGCAGAGGGTGTCAGACCAGGAAAATCGAAAATAACTGCAGTAGAGAAGTTTTTAGTTCCTAAAAATGTCCATGAGGTGAGGCAGTTTTTAGGAGTTGCCAGTTATTTTCGGAAATTCGTCAAGAAGACCATCAACCACATTTACTGAAAAGACCGAAACATTTAGTTGGAATAAAGATCAAGAAGATTCTCTGCGACAGCTGAAACAGATATTGTGTACTCGACCAATTTTAGCTATTTATGATCCTAATTTAGAGACAGATGCATCGACATGGGGACTTCGTGTTTACCTTCTAGGAATCCAGCTTAAAGTAGTCACATAACCAATGGCTGCAGAGTTTAGAGCAAAAGCAGCATTCATTATGCCGGATGGGCATTATGAGTATACACGAATGCCATTTGGATTAGCAAATGCTCCAGCCGTATTTCAGCGAAGTATTAACCTATGTTTTTAGATCCTTGAGATTTAATACAGCACTGGCCTACATTGATGACATCTTTATTCCGACAGTGTTTTATAATACCAGCCATTAGAGAAACGGAGGGTTCAAGTGATAGCTGATATTGATCAAGATCAAGCAAAACAAAAAGAAACATATGATGCAAAGAGATTGAAGAACCGCAAATATGAAATTGGACAAGTAATGATGAGACAAAATGTGGCATCAAATGAAGGGCAGAGTAGAAAGCTATTAGCAAAGTATGATGGAAATTACATTGTCACAGCTGATTTAGGGAGAGATCGATATGTGATAGAAGATTTGCCCGGTTCAAAGAGATGTCAAAAGAAATACAAAGGAATATGTGCTGTACATCGTTTGAAGCCATTTAATATTAGACTGGACACTGATACAGAAAATTCCGAATCGGAGGATGTGGAACACGTTTCCTATGGTCGTGTTCATGAAGACAAAATATCTTCACAGGGAAACGACTCCTAAGGACTGTTTTCAAGAAGAAAAGGTTTCTTCAAAAGGAAAAGATTCCCCAGAACAATGTGTTCATGAAGAAAACGTTTCTTCAAAAGGAAAAGATTCCCAAGAACAACGTGCTAATGAAGACAGCATTTCTTCAATGGAAAACGTTTCCAATGATGTAGGTAGCGATGGAAAAAAGTTTCTTCATGGAAAAAAGTTCTTTTTGAGGAGGAAAACGTTTCTTCCGAGTTCAAAGTTCTCTTTGAATCAAAAGTTGATTCAACAAGGTAGAAGATTTCTCCGGAGAAATACAATACGCGCGCAAGGATGATGAGAAAAGTTCCACATTTCACCAATAACATTTATAAATCATGAAAAACACGTTCTTCCAGCAAAAAAACGTTTTTGATAAGTCACAAACTTCCTTAAAATCGGATGCTAAAAAAAAGCAAAGTTTTACAAATAAAGGAAGAACGCGAAAAGCCAAAGTGGTTCACATATTCACATAATATTTTTGTTTAGCAATTTTGTGCAGACATTAATTCAATCAAAAATGTATTTTTGTCCTTTGAGATGCATGAAATCCACCTTTGCACTATTGCTAAGTTTATGGATCATCCTAAAAACGCACAAACACTAGTGTTTGACGTGCTTACTACATAAAACCTACTACTTAGCCCAACTATTATAAGCACTAAATAATCTAATGGCCCCAAATGCATTGATCAAAATTTTCGCTTTCATAATCAAAAATATAAAGTCAACTCGAGTAAAAAAACAAAACATTTCCAAAAGAAATTGCGCCCTAAACCTAATCCATCATCTAACCTAATAAGGATTAAACTTATTCCTTTCGCTCTTCACTTTAGTGCTGCTACTGCCCTCTTGCGAGCGACCACCGTAAGACGATGACGACTTGTGCGAACGATGTACGCCAGTAGTTTGAACTGGAGCGTTAGAGGTGCCCCCTGTTTGGGCCCCCAACAACTCAGTGAGCCCACCTAAAGCACTGAGGCTGCTTAGAGCGTTCAGCGCTCCAGGTTTGGCCAATAGCTGAGCCAACGGGATAGCGCTGGCCAATGAGGACGAGGCTACGTTGGTGGATGTTGTGGTGCTGGAATTGGAGCTGGCGTTTGCATTGGGAGAGCCTTGGGATTCGAGGTTGGCCTTCTGGAGCTCGACGCTGCAGGGATAGAGAGACATAGAGGGCATTAGGGTATTTTGGGGGGAAAGATTAAGGAGTTTTGTGTGATGGGTCATTTTTTAATAACCAACCAACAAAATTGTGTAATTGAGATTATTATTTTGAAAGGTAAAGGGGTGGATTTTGATATTGATTATATAGCTCATACAAAACAAAACAAAAAACGATTCGCATCATCAAGCTTTTTAGTTCTTGAATCAATTTGTAGGTATGTACTTTGACATGATCCAATCCTTATGTGAAAAATCTCAACAATTTTCTAGAACTTCTACATATTATTATCAGTGTGGTTTACAAGTTTAAACTGCTCAGAAATAGCTTTGAATGGATCATAATTCAAGTTGGAAGCATTTCTAACATGAAACAGTCTTTCAGCTCTGATTGCTCTAAACATCAGTTTCCTATCATTAGATGAAAGTTTCAAGTCACAGAAAGACACAAAACTTGGATATATTCCAGTTGCTTTTACTAATGCGCATCGTAGTTTTTTGTATGAGCTATATCTTCCTACTATGCATAGTAGTTAAGGTGAATGATTAAGTTAGCTATCCAATAACATATTTATATTTATTTTATACAATATTAGAAAGTATATCGAAGCCAATTAAAGAATAACATATTAATTAAGTTAGTGTTAGCACAATGTAATTTTGGACTTTATATAGGAAATCTCATGATCTGGATAACTTAAAGGTCAATAACATTGAAAATAGAGTCATTGGGATTTGAGGAAATTGTTCTAAACAACATTCATTCCCAACAGTCAAACACAGGACAAGGAAATTGACAGTTAATAAGATCATGTGTGTGATTTTTTTTTTTTGTGGAGAAAACCAACAAATAAATAAACGAGCAATAAACAAACCAAATCCTTACCTCATATTGATGAGATACTGAGCCAAGGCGACTGCATCGGGTGTTCCAGTAATAGTAATGGTACGGTCCTGCGGCGATCCCGTCTCGCGATCGTCGCAATTCGATATGCGGATCATGGCGCCGGAAATTTGTCGGATTTCCGCTATTTTGGTGCCTCCTTTGCCGATCACGCAGCCAATCAGTTCGTTCGGAACTGTCATTTCTGTTGTTTGTTGGTTGGTGTTCTGGTTGCTGCGCGAGTTTGTGGTGCGCAGTTGCGAACCAGCCAATGCAGCCAGAGCTAAAAAAGATGGTAAAATTTCAAAAAATTCTAGAAATTTCTTTTTGATTTGATACAGTTAATATAAAAGCTATTCATTATTACCTCGATTATTACGACATCTTTATTGAGATTAATACAGATGAACACATCATATTATATTGTTTACCCTGTTGTAAATATGTACATACATATGCACAACAGCATAATAGTTATTCATGTATCAAGGGTGTTAATACCCCAGGGTAACGTTTGTGTTGCCCGTGGGTATTACCACCTGATAATTCCCGTGGTACATAGATAATTTTATATCCTACTGAATTCACTGTATTTTGTCTATTTTTATAAAGGAACAAACCATAAATCAAAATTTCAATTTTTTCTCAAAGTTTTACCTATTCAAGGTAAAAGCGGGAGTTCTGGAAATCTTTAACTCCCGCGCGGGAGTTATGGAATCCTTAGCTCCCGCGCGGGAGTTAAGACCCTGTTTATGATTATCGTAACCAAGATATTATATGGTTATAATAAACTACGCATCAATCAAACTCGAACACCCTAATTTTTGGACACTTTTTGTAAGACTATAACTCAAAATCTAGCAGGCCGATTTTCTTCAATTTTTCAGGAGTGAAAGGCTGCTCTAATTGCTATCTAATTTCCAGTTATTAACAGATTTCCGGCCACCTGGTAAAAGATACAGGGTAAAACATAAGTTCAATTCCTACCGCGATCCTTATTCGCGAAGAATTGAGAGCTCAGTTTCATCGCACTGGTAAAAGAATTCTGTTGTCATCCCAGGCCGAAGTACCTAATTCTTGGTTTACCACCTGCAATATAAGTAGCTGTGCCAGTGTTGAACCCTATTTTATTGGCCATAAAATTGCGCGACTTTCACCGACCTCGATCGTTTCTTTTATAATAACCGAGATCCCTCTGGTTAGAAAAATAGACACACTACCTATATATTTTTGTACGACCCTGTATAATATGTTTTAATGTTCCACATGCGCCATAATTGTAGTGTTTGTTTCGAAAAGAAATAATGACGTCAAAAGCCATATTTTACATAAAATCGCAAAACTCGAGATCAAATCGTACTGTGCTGCGATATTCAAAAAATATCAAAACCGTCCCGAGGTACTAAGGTACTCTTCTAAACTGAATACCAAAAATCTACTTAACCCTCCCTCCAGCAGAATAGGGTGAACCCAAACTTTCGCAAAAAAATCACCAACTTATGTTTCACCCTACCCTTTCAGCAGGTATAGCCGGAAATCTGTTAACAACTGGAAATTAAATAGCAATTAGAGCATCCTTTCACTCCTGAAAATTTGAACAAAATCGGCCTACTAGATTTTGAGTTGTAGTCTTTTAAAAAGTGACCAAAAATTGGAGTGTTCGAGTTCGATTGATGCGTAGAAAATTGGGGTGTTACTACAAAAAAACTGCTCCAGATAACGAGATGAACTAATTAAATTTATACAGGGTGAGTTACTAAGCGCGCGGTGGTCCATATCTCCTTTACTTATAGAGATCGAAGAAAAAATTAAATTCAAAACTTGTAGACAAACATGAGAACTACATTCTTAAATTATTTTCCAGTATACAGGGTGGCCCAATAAGTAGTGGTGAATCAAAGTTATGTTTTTTTAAATGACTCTCCCTGTATATTATGACATTTCTGGATCCTGTGGAAAATTCTAGACATATTTCATGTACAATGTCATATACCTATTTAACTGTTTCGGAAATATTGACAGTTTAAAATTGACTTTTTTGCATCTTTGACAGACTGTACAACCTAAACGGTTGATTTTACAGGAAAACCAACTTCACATTCTTATTCTAGATTTTCATAAGCCATCATTTGACACCAATTTTGAATTTAACTGGAGATTATGTACTAATTTAAGCAGAATTTTTAATCATGGATTAAATTCAAAGTTGGTGTCAAATGATCGTTGTTCGGGTTTTACAGTCTGTCAAAGATGCAAAAGAGTCAATTTTAAACTGTCAATATTTCCGGAACAGTTGAAGATAGGTATATGACATTGTACATGAAATATGTCTAGAATTTTCCACAGAATCCAGAAATGTCATAATATAAAGGGTGAGTCATTTTAAAAAACATTACTTTGTATCACCACTACTTATTCGGCCACCCTTGTATACTGGAAAATAGTTTAGGAATGTAGTACTCATGTTTCTCTACAAGTTTTGTATTTAGTTTTGCCTTCGATCTCCATTAGTATAGAGGATATGGACCACCGCGCGCTTAGTAACTCACCCTGTATAAACGAAAGATTATACAACCAGCCTACAAAAGCGTTTTTTTGATATATTAAATGTTTATTGTAGAAAAATATTGCTGATTATCGTCTTTTTTGCTCCTTTTTGAACGGAAATATGAGTGATGGATTTTTTATTTTTTTTTGAAAAATTGCTCTGTAGGCTGGTAGGTTGAACCCTTGTAAGTTTTTGTTCCAAAAATGAAGTCTGTTATTGCTTTAATGACGCCGTAGTTTGGTTTTTCGTGAGCACTGATTTGATGCATTTTTGACTAAAATTATTTAATGCCGCGTTAAAACGATTTATTGTAGTGTAGTTTTGTGTTTCATTAAGCTTTTTAATGCATGTCGCAATTGTCTAGCTTTTCTTGAACTTTCGTCTCGCGGTCTGTGACTAAATATCTTTTTGCCTGTAGTGGAGCCTTAAGCCAACGACTATTAACGAGCCATAACCGTACGAATTGTATTACACGTTGACAGTATGACTGACTTTTGTATCTCCGTAATGATCGGGTTTGCGTTTTCGATATCAAGCATTTTCAAGCACGTATAAAGTTGTTTCTCTACTATTCCACAGGCCGAGATGACTATCGGGATTATCTTTACTTCTTGTAGTTCGTAGATGTCTTTTATTTCATGGGATAATTCTTGATATTTCGTAATTTTGTCATTTCGAGCTTTCCAAATATTTACTTCTAGAGATATTATGATATCTACTATAAATTCCAGTCTCTGTTGTTTGTAAAGTATAAATATGTCTGGTTTGTTATGTCTAATTTCTCGATCTGTAATGATATCAGTGGCCCAGTACACCTTGACCTCGGTGTTTTCCAGGATTGGAGTCGGTAAGTATTTATAATAGGGTACAATGTTGTTAATTAGTTTTTCTTTGTTACAGATAGCCTGATGCAAGATTCCTCCTACTTGGTTATGCCTATTCAGGTAGTTCTTTGAAGCAAGGTAAGTACATGCAGAAAGAAAGTGTTGTATATTTCCTGTTTCTCTATTGCATATTCTGCACTTGTCATTATCTACAATTTGTTTAGGAATGTACTTTTTGTAATTTTTTTTGCAGATGACCTGATCCTGTATTGCACTAATTAATCCTTTTGTTTCAGGCATAAGTGAACCATTCTGTAGGTAATATGTCGATCTTTCGATGTCAGCACTATCCGACCGAAGTGCAGTAGAGTACCGTCCATAGAGAACTTTGGACGTCCATTCATTTTCAAGCGCTTGATTGGAGTGCAGTATGATCGGTGCATTTCCGGCGGCAAGATTCAAAGGTGAGTATTTTTGATCAGCTGGGACTATGGCGGTATGGATGCTTTCTGTGCTATTTGAAAAGTATTGATATAGTTTGCAAATTGTTTATTCATGTTGTGACGGAACTAGCTATTACCCTTTTGTGGACTCTAGTCATTACCGCACCAGGGATGTCAAAAGTTTTTACTTTGACTGACTGTAAAAATTAACCATTAGGTGTTGGATCATTTAAGCCTTGTATTGAACTAGGGGTGCCTTGATTCTCATTTATACAAATAAAACGCTGAAATAGAATAGTTATCAATTTAATTAATAAATGAAGTTAATTCGGTTTAATCAGCAATCAAATCCTATCTAATAATTCCTATTTGGACGTCCAGTCGAACTACAAATTTTATACTAATCTAAAGTAAATAAGCGAGTAAATAAGTATCTTGATTTATAAAAAATAGTGAAATTTCATAATAATAATATCAATTATGGTTAAATGTTCAATGAACGAGAACACAAATTAACTAATTAGGTTTACGAGAGCACAACACAAATAATTCGTGAACTTCAATCAGCTCACTGTATTCACAAAATGTTTATAATCCTTGAAAGTTCTTTTGTTTATTGAGAGTTAATAATTTGAGCACTTTTCTGCTGAAGTGTGTAAACAATAAGTGCAAGAAAAGTCTATATATATATGCTCAGTTTCTATATACAAATTTACAAATTAATGTTCATTTCACGAGTGTGAAAACCAAATTTCTGTATTAAAGGTTAGAACAAACACTTCAATTTATAGTGCATTTCAACCGAATCGGTATTCAGTATTTATTAATTTATTGTTCGACTGTTTTGAGAAATTGAAACGGTCTTACTTGCTTAATCCAGTTCATACCGGTAAATCCATATAGTGATTATTTATCCATTTATCACTATTCGTAGTAATTTGCACTGTCAGCTAAGGGATTTTCCACTAAGAGAGAGAACACAATGATATACAGAGTTGAAGCCCGTCGAGAGTGAGACAGGAATAACCTTAAACAGGCGTAGTAGAGAATTTTGCTAGGTCCGAGATGACTTGCAACAATTTAGGGGTTAATTACATGAATTGTAATCAATAATATCGTTGATAATATAGGCCATGTCAGGCCTTGAGACACTGGGAGTAGTATTTTACTATAATTCGCGTACTAACGGGGGTTTTCTGGGGGTTTTTTCCTCTGTAGAGCGTTCAGAGGCGAGAGGGTGCAGAGTCTTTGCTTACTCTTCTGCTTCTTGATTACTACTGTTGTGTACCGTGCCGTGCGTCGAGTCGACTGCCTTTTTCGGAGCAGGTCGCATAAATCAGGGATGTTGGGTGGCAACTGACCAATCACAACAACAAAATAGATCCATTGCTCATAGGGTAATGAAGAAATCTGTAATTTTACCGATTCAAAAGGGCTGCTGTTGCCAGTTTTACAGGAATCTTTTTTT